GGAATTTTTTTTTTTTTTTTTTTAACTAGTAATGGCGGTGATCAGCGACTTATAGCGGGACTGCGGCAGACATTCTGACACTGAGGGGGGGGAACTGACTTGGTGTCACTTACATCTCCGGAAACACCAATACAGTGATCAGTGCTAATAAAAAGCACTGACACTGTACTAATGGCACTAATGTGTGCTGTTTTACTATGTTGGTTGTGAGTGCTTTACACTGTAAGCACAATGCTTTGTGTGGCTCTGCTATGCAGAGCCATACAAAGCAGTGTGCAGGAGCTGACAGGGGAGAGATCTGTGTTGTTTATACACAGGTCTCTCCCCCATTGGTAATAGTCAGTGATTACCGGTTGCCAGTGAGGAATCACCATCTGGAACGTGGTAACTGACAGCCGAGGATGCGAATGGTGGTGGGTATACAGTATATACATGATTCTACACATCCGTGCTGCCCTGTAGCAGTATTTCTGCTATAGGGTAGCGCGAAAGCGGTTAAAGGGAGAGCTCGACAAGTGTTTCCATGTCCCACCAAATACACCCCAGACATCAGGTATTGTACAGGGTGCCCCTAAATATGGACACATAGGAAATATCACTGAACTAAAAATATGTTTTTTTTTTTCTCAAGATGCATTTTGCCTATGTGTCCAGACTTTAGGGACACCCTGCAGAGTGAGCCAAGCTGGATGACTCAGTTCATTCTTACATGTTTGCTGGGTGTGTCTCTATGTTACATTGACCGGAACATTGTATAACACATTTACATTTACAAAACATTTAGACCACAGCTGCCCATTGAATGCATGCCCTCCCTCAACCAGGACAGGATTTAGTATACAGGGGGAATGCTGCCCTATTAGCACAGGTGCTCCAAGTACAAAGTCTTTGTGGAAATGCACTGCATCTGAGCACCACAAACAAAAAATGCTGTTTAATTATTATTCAAAAGCAAACTCGCCCATCCATCCATGTCTCCATGTTTTATTTTGCTGAGAAATATTTTTTGGAATACACCCCCTAGCATTTCTGGCAATGGCCATCTTGAGTAAGGGCTGTTGATTTATGTAACATTTGCTTCCTGGGATCTATCTGACCTTAGCTCAGGCATTGACTGAGCTGGGAACCCTCCCTCCCCTCCTGAAGACTGTTGTAATGTATGACATCATTTGCCTAGGCAGGAAACCAGGAAGTAGCTAAAGAAATGTAAAAAAAAAAAAGTTTAAAACTAGTAAATATGATATACTTAACTATCGATTTACTAATTCTTCCACTTTAAAGTATATTTATGCTTCTGCAGCCAAATTGGTATAATACCTACTTTATATTTGTTACATGTCCCCAATCACATAGCATAACTTAAAAAAAAAAAACATTTAAAAATTGCAGCTTACCTTTTTTAGATGCTCTATTCCGGACCCTCCAGCAAGGAAAAAGTCTACATAGTTCTCTTTGTTTAAGAGGGGGGTGGGGAGCTGTTTTTGCCATAAATTACCCTACCTGTACTGTGCAGGTAGATCTTCAATATCAAAAGCAACCAGATTTAAAGACAGTCTGTCTTAAAAAAGGGTTAAGGATGTAGAGGCTAGGCTTCTTGCATTGTATGCTGATGAGGACAGACCTGGGACAGGTTCACTAACATCAGCGTTCAAAATATCTTGCAATCAGCCATGACACCTCCTGAGAAACATCTAAAAGGTAAGAAATACTGGATTTATTGGATGCTGTGTGAATGGGAACACATAAACATATAGTGGGCAGGGGCAGACTGACAACTCATGGGGCCCCCGGGCAATAGGGGATCATGGGGCCCCTGTGTCCTTGCTCACACTCAAAGCACACCCAAAAAAACCTATAAAAAAGGTACCTGGGGCATTTCATGGGGCTCCCTACTGACCCTGGGCCCTCGGGCAGTGCCCGCGTGCTCGAATAGTCAGTCCACCCCTGATAGTGGGGTTTTCTCATTTTTGATAGCAAAAGTGGAAATACACTTAAAGACACACGCAGATATTAGGGAAAGTGGTTTGATATGCAGGTATGACACTCTTTTCCACCAATGGTGTAGACCAGAGGGGAGAAAAGATGATCAGGAAAGGAAGACACTTTTGTTTTTGCTCATCTTAGGGCCCTTTCACACGAGTGATCCAATCAGTTCTGCCTGTCAGTTTTTCAGGTGGACCTAATTAAAAGGTCAATGCATTGCTATGGACCGGCGGGTGTAAATGGACTTCTGTCCATTTACACCCGCCTACCTCTGGGTACGATCAGGCCCACTACAAAAATGGAGGAGAACTGCATCTTCATCCATTTGTGTGGACCAGATCAGAGGCAGCAAGGTGTAAACAAACAGCGGAGTACGTTAACTTTTGGCCGCCCATACTGTACAGCAGGCTCTGTCTGTGTCCACTTTGCAGAAACTGAGCAGACACAGATCTGTCATCCACCCACTTGGCTCTAATCAGCAGGAGATCTGTTTGCAGATACCCTGCTGGTTGGGACACACACAAACAACCCCTGTGAAAGGGCCCTTAGATCGAATTAATAGAAACAAACAGGTTTTCTAGGCTGCCATATCTATTGTTCCCTCTGTACAGAAACTGTACATGAGTCCTATAGACAGCAGATAAATGCCAGTTGCCAATTGTTTTCACGCAACTGTCCTCTCATGCTTATGGGTAACCTTTTGCTGTAAATATATACAACTCTAGACTTGGCTTTTCCCATTTATATCACATTATGTGATTCTACTAAATTAGATTTACTGGAATTCCAGAGGTATAGCTTTTTCATGTCAGTACCACAAATATCTTCCATTTCTAACAGAGACCTATCAAGAAAATTATTTTGCAAACCTTTCACTTGTCAGACATCAATGTATAGTAATGAAAGGAATGCTGCCTTTTGCACGGATTGTAGGATTTTTATACGGTGCATGTTATGATATATAAAGTATTGAATTACAAACACCTGGTTGAAAAAGAAGAAATTAGTTGTCTCAAAATTTAATTTATGAATAATAATCTATAAAGAATGTAGGTTACAGATTTATAGCTCCATGGCCTTATATTGCACATACCTTTCCTTTGTATGTAAAGTTTTGAATTGGTGACTGTCACACAAATTGTTCACATGGGGTATGGGCAATAAAGATGATTCTGCAGAAAATTAAAGTCCTCATGCACACTGGACGTTCTTACAGCTGCTATTTTTGGCTTTTGACTTTTTTTTTTACAGCCAGTAAACTCCCCAACATGTTATCCTATGTGTCCATCCACACAGAGACTGTGATCAACATTTTTTGGCTGTAAAAAAAACCCCAGGACTAGTGGGTATCTAGAGGAGTTTGTTAGCTATAAAAACGCTATAATGCTGGAAAACGCAGCAAAACGCTGCAACCTAGTGTTTTTGTACTTTTCTTGACCCAAAAAACCCGCTAAAAGCCACAAATGCGGTGAAATGCTGAAAAATGCAGGAAAACACAGCTAAACACGGCAAAATGTCGTTAACCGCTAATGCAAAAATGCTGAAAAAAGCTGAAAAACTCACGTTTTTAACGTGACTTTACACAGAGAACGTTACCAGCGTTATCAAAACACCCAGTGTGCATGGAGTCTAAGTACCTGTGACAAACTGCTAGAGGATGTGTACAGCAAACATTTACTGAAGACACGGCGTAATTTATTTGTAGTGCAGGCCTACACAACAACAAAGGCAGACCACAAAAATTTAGAGACATGATGACGTGAGCAGCTAAACACTGGTCCATGAAGTACTGTTATGTACTTTTAATCAGCAATGTTGTGCAATGAAATACTGTGCAAGCTCTGACTACGTTCTTTAACAACTACTATAATACAATCTCTACTGGTAGCAATAATAAAAATAAACTTCCATTACAGTTCTCCAGAAGCTGACTATCATAGGATCTATCATCTGGCATTTGTTTTGTCTTTGTCTTGAGCTGGTGGTGATAGCTAGGCCTCATATCACAGTGACGCATAACAAAGATTACTCCACATACACTGAAAATACCTTTCATCGAGAATGTTCAATTATAGGCTGGTCAACCAGCCTACCATCAATCATTATTACCGCAGAGCAGAGATACAGCTAATTCTGAGTTTTTACAGATTTTATTCTTGGTTACTACAGCTTTATTTATCATACATTTATTTTAAAAGGTTGCTTTTGATTGCCCTTCTTTATTAAAATGCTGTAAAGGTAAAATAATATGTACTATATATTTATCTGCTGTGGATTTAGCATGTGTTGCTATATGCTGCCTTTAAACCTGTTTCATCATCAACTCTTTAAAGTGGAAATTCACCCAAAAGGGGAAATTCACTTGTTTGTATCATCCCCCCCTCCACTCTCACATTTGGCACTTTTGGGGGGATGGGGGGAGGGAAAGTGGGTACCTGGTTTTGACAGGTACCAGCTCCCACTTCTGGCGTTCTGAGCCAAACGTTAGCGCCTTCCTCCTTCTCCCGCAGCCTTTTGGGACAGTTCACAGGTCCCAGAAGACTGCTAGACCATTCACAAAGCGTAGCGCACTTCCCACTTGCACAGTAGGAAACTGCCTGCAAAGTAGCAAGGCTTCACTTTTGGTTTCCCTTACTGAATATTGATTGAAGAATTGGCTCAGTGAGGACACAGCTGAATCCTTGGACAGGTAAGTGTCCTATTATTAAAAGTCAGCAGCTACAGTATTTGTAGCTGCGGATTTAATTTTGTTGAGGGAGCCTGGAGCTCCGCTTTAATAATGCCTATACCTTTTAGAAAATAAAATCTAAACAAAGGAAGCATGGAGGGTGCAATTGCCAACCACCTCTTCTGAAAATACTAGTGCAAGTAACAGTAGCTTTAGTACTTTAAGAGTCAACAGGGTTGATTTAATACAGGAGCAGGGGCAGACTGACAACTCATGGGCCCCCCCGGGCAATAGGGGATCATGGGGCCCCTATGTCCTTGCCCAAACTTAAAAAAACCTATGAAAAAAGTTACCAGGGACATCTCATGGGGCCCCCTACTGACCCCGGGCCCTCGGGCAGCACCCGAGTTTCCAAATGGTCAGTCCGCCCCTGTACAGGAGTATGTATTTATATAGCAAAGTGAATTTTTGCTTTTCAAGGACATTTTCAGTTAGCTTAGTGAATGAAATGAAGCTCAGCTGACCTCCATCATCCAAAAGAAAAGTTTATTTTTTTTTTCATTTTCCTTACATGTGATAGGCTTTGTAAAGGAGATTATCACCACATTCACTTTTAGGTGGAATTTCAGTTGCAGAGTGAACATGTTCTATTCCTTTAGTAAATCAATCCACTGACTTGGAACAAAAATGCAGTTGCAAACATCATAGTATTTGACTTTGAGATTGTATCACTCCTCTCTTTCCCCTCTCTCTTTCTTTGTTTGGTTCCTTGGCATACTCATTTTACTGGGCCATATTGCCCATCAGATATATTTCCTTTGTAATCAGCCTGCCCTGCAGCATCATCTGTTTTTTCCTTCTTGTCCTTTTTCCAACCCCATTTGGGAGTCATTGCTTCTGCCTGCTTGATATGGTTGCGCAACCTGTTTCCTAACTTTTGACAAGAGATTGAGGTTGATTTACTAAACTGGAAAGTGCAAAGTCTGGTGCAGCTTTGCATAGAAACCAACCAGCTTCCAGTTTTTCTTATCAAAGCTTAATTGAACAAGCTGAAGTTAGAAGCTGATTGGCTACCATACACTACTCCACCAGATTTAGCACTCTCCAGTTTTAATAAATCAACTCCACTATGTTTTATTTGTGATTGCTGTGTGTTACTGTAATTATATTATCTAATATCACTTTGTGATGATAATGTATATGCCAAGACACCTCTGATTTTTCTTTATTTTTACATCAATAAAAACAATAAACAAGAATTTGAGATTGTATTATACACATATGTCAGCAACAAATCCTTTTTTTTTCATAACCTACCTACAGCCTGCAGCATCTGTTACATGGAAGTATAAGGGGGGTCACAGTATCTTTTACTTCAGAACAAATCTTTTTTGGCCTTACTTTTCTTTTGAGTCACAGAAGCACATTTACATTTGTTCTCTTGTGACACAGAGTCAGCTGATAGCAGGATATATGGCCCCTTTTAGACGGGGCGGACCCACCAAAGGATCCATTTGCTCAGCATGGGATCTCACTGTTGATCCCCGCTAAGCAAGCGGATGCCAGGTCTGTGTCTGCTCTGCTGCAGAGCAGACAGAGACACGGCCTGCTTTTTCCTATGGGATGGATGGGTGGAAACGGACCACCTGTCCATTTCCACCTAACTGTCATCTGATCTGATCCACCGGATCCCAATCCTTCTGTTTTTGGCGTACAGGATTAGATTGGATGCCGGCATGTGTCAGCAGACACTTGTCCGCTAACACTCACTGGTCAATAGAGGTCTATGGATGGTCTGATCTGGTTCACCTGAAAAACTGACAGTTGGACCCGATTGGACCATCAATGTGAAAGGGGGCCTAAGGGTATATGCTGAGCACTTGGGCTGGGCTCACCTGCCTCATGAGGCTGTCTATTCGCTAAGGAAGCTGCCCATATCAGAGGTTCAATATGGAAGCTTAAATGGTGAAAGAGACATGACAAAGTTCAACATTTACAGGAAAACCCAGGACTTGCATACTGTTTTTGATACATATTTTCTGAATCTACTGACTTTTTCACACCCATGTTTCAAGAAGGTAATCTTTACCTGTGCTTATGCATCTTTATTATATGCTTAGTTTACTTTAAACAAGACACACCTATATTCCTGTTTTACGCCATTTGCTTCATTTCCAAATTTCTGGGAAATTAAACTGAGATATAATCTGCTTATATCATGCCTTCCATGCCTTCCCCCTGCAACATGCTCATAAAATTTTAGATAAAATCTTTCTATTTTTATTATAAACTCTATTTTGGTCCCAGTGATCTCATCACTGGGTTTCTGTGCTATTACATGCAATGCAGGCAGATCATGCCTGACAGGGTCCTGAAAACATCACAGTACCCTGCCTCAGTACTCATCTAAAAGCCCTCAGCCCTGATGAAAGCAGTGCCTTGGCTCTTGGGAATAGTCATGCAAATTTTCTGCTGAGCCTCTATGACTGAATTAATTGAAATCCACTTAATGAAAGGAGGAAAGTGGTAGATAATGCTGGATGTCCTCCAGTGAGGAAATTAGGTGAATCTGACTTGCTGTAGCTTCTAATGCACACTGTGAGAAGGATGAGTTCAGAGAAAACAATTTCAGTACAGGAGAGGAGCCTGTACAACTGTGCAAAACCGAGGTAAAGATGGAGTACAGCTTTGAATAATAAGGTAACCATTACATACAGTACCATTCTATGAGAAATCAGTCATTAATTTGAGAACAGCACAGTCCTTCACTTTGAATTTGTGACATGTCCAGACAGATGACTCTGCTAATTTGTTTGTAACATACTGTAGATTTTCCAACCAAGTCTTACTGATAAAGACATTTCCTGTTTGCACAATATAGCTTATACTTGCAGCAGACATTCAAGATCTAATAGTTGCATATATTCTGCTCTTTGTTTTATTATTATTTTTATTATTGCTACTATTATTATACAGTATTTTTATATAGCGCCAATAGTTTGCTCAGCGCTGTACTTTATAGTGGGTGACAGTACAGTAACAATACAATACAATACACGAGGGGTTTGAGGGCCCTGCTCCTTGGAGCTTACAATCTAGGAGGGAGGGGAGAGTGGTACAGGAGGAAATAGCTGTGGGGGATGGAGTGGTGGGAAGAGCGGAGGAGATCAGCAATTAGGTGAGGGCTGGGTGGGCTTCTCTGAAGAGATGGATTTTTAGGGTGCGCCTAAAGGAGAGTAGGGTAGGTCTGATGGATTGGGGTAATGAGTTCCAGAGGATGGGGGAAGCCCTGGAGAAGTCCTGAAGATGGGCATGGGAGGAGGAGACCAAGGAACTGAAGAGCAGGAGGACTTGTGAGGAGCAGAGAGAGTGCCTTTGGGTGGTAGATGGATATCAGGTCGGTGATGTAGTTTGGGGCAGTGTTATGAACAGCTTTGTACGTCAATGTTAATATTTTGAATTTTATGTGTTGGGCAATCGGAAGCCAGTGGAGGGATTGGCAGAGGGGGGAGGCGGATACGGAGCAGTTGGTGAGGTGGATAAGTCTGGCCGCAAAATTCAGGATAGACTGAAGCGGGGATAGCCTGTGTTGGGGTAGGCCAGCGAGGAGGGAGTTGCAGTAGTCAAGTCGTGATATAATAAGGGAGTGAATGAGTTGCTTAGTGGTTTCCGGGGTTAGGAACGGGCTATTTTGGAGATGTTGCGGAGGTGGAGTCTGCATGAATTTGTCAGCGATTGGATCTGGGGCTGGAAAGACAGATTGGAGTCTAGAATGACACCTAGTACTTTGGCTTGTGGGGTGGGGCTGATCGTGGTGTTGTTGGTCGTGATGGAGAGGTCGGGGGGGGGGGGGTGTGGGCTGGGGGGAAAACTAGGAGCTCTGTTTTAGCAAAGTTTAGTTTGAGGAAGTGGAGTGACATCCAGTCTGATATGTCATTTAGAAGGCTAGTGATTCGGGCGGAGACTGAAGGGGTGAGGTGAGGTGTGGAGAGATAGATTTGAGTGTCATCGGCATAGAGATGGTAGTTGAAGCCATGGGAATTTATCAGTTGGCCAAGGGAGAACGTGTAGATGGAGAAGAGAAGGGGCCTGAGGACAGAACCTTGGGGGACCCCAACAGAGAGGGGAGTGAGGGGGAGGTGGCAGCGTTATAGGTAACGCTGAAGAAGCGTTGTGATAGATAGGACGAGAGCCATTAGAGAGCGGAGACTCTGAGGCCAAATGAGTATAGGTTTTTGAGGAGAAGGGGGTGGTCGACCTAGTCGAAAGCTGCAGAGAGGTCGAGGAGTAATAGCACAGAGTAGTGGCCTTTGGCTTTGGCAGTTAGCAGGTCGTTGGTGAGTTTGAGTAGGACGGTTTTGGTGGAGTGTAGGGGACAGAAGCCAGATTGTAGGGGATCAAGGAGGTTGTTGTCGGTGAGGTGGGAGCTTAGGCGATTATAGGCTAAGCGCTCAAGGAGTTTGGATGAGACTGGCAGCAGGGAGATGGGTCTAATGTTGTTTAGGTCGGTGGGATCCAGGGAGGGTTTTTTAAGTATGGGACTGATGTGCGCGTGCTTCAAAGGGGAGGGGAATGTGCCAGTAGAGAGGGAGAGATTGAAGATGTGAGTGAGGGAGCGTAGGATGGAGGAGGAGAAAGGTCGTAGGAGTTGTGAGGGGACAGGGTCGAGGTGGAAGGTGGTGAGGCGGGCTTCAGAGAAGACTTTAGTGACCTCTTCAGTGGTAGCAGGGTCAAAGGAGTGGAGAGTTGAGGGGGTTTGAGTGTGGGGAGTGTTGGGCGGGGTAGAAGTCTGGACGGTGGCGAGGTCAAAGGAGAGGAGTGTTGAGGGGGTTTTTGTGTGGGGGATGCTAGGTGGGGTGGAAGTCTGTGCAGTGGTGATGTCCCTGCGAATTGCGTCAATCTTGCTTTGGAAGTGGTTAGCAATCTCGTGGGTGGTGAGTGAGGTACTGGGTGGAGGGGGGGGCGGGAGAGCAGAGAGTTGAAGGTGGAGAAGAGCTGGTGAGGGCTGGAGGCGAGGGTATTGATGAGGGTTACAAAGTAGGCTTGCTTGGCAGCGTGGAGGGAGGAAGTGTAGGTGAGGAAGGCGGATTTATATCAGGTGAACGCTTGTTGGGATCTGGTTTTGCGCCATAATCGCTCTAGCGAGCAACTGCGTCGCTTGAGGTTTTTTTGGTATGGTCATTCTGCCAGGGTTGAAGCGGTCGGGGTCTAATGTTTCATGTGGTTAGGGGTGCTAAGGAGCCAAGAGCGGCTGACAGCGAGTTGTTATAGACAGCAGTGGCCAGATCAGGGCAGGACAGGGGAAGGATACTGTCGTAAAGTTGGTCAGCTGCAGAGTGGAAAGGGGCAGGGTTCAGGTTGCGGAGGTTTTTGGTTGGTGATGGTTTGACGTTTGGAGGGGTAGGTGTATGAGGACGAGGAGATGGAAAAGGTAATGAGGTTGTGGTCAGAGAGAGGAAAAGGGGTGTTTGTGAGGTTGTGGGGGTGCATAGATAGGAGAAAACAAGGTCCAGGGTGTTCCCGTTGGAGTGGGTAGAGGACTGTATGCACTGTGCGAGTGTAAAAGAAGAGGTTAGGTGGAGGAGTTGGGATGTGGCCGGGCTATTGATGTTGGTAGG